ACATTATGCAAATTAGGCGATGGCGTCATTTAGCGACTTCTAGCGACTTTTGGGACAACCAATAGCGACTTTCCTTGCTGAGGAGTTGGCAACAGTGCCTGTGAGTGCTTTGGGACGGAAGGGAGCCCACGGCAGCATTCGCTGCCCGGTGAGAAGAGTAAGGACGATACGTGCTTTCACGTCAGAGTCTACAAAAGTCTCCAGTAACACTAGAAAAAGTCGCTAGATTTGTCGCTAGTCGCTTTTTTGAAAACGAGTCGCTAGAGGGGTCTAAAAACTTGCTAAATATAGCGACAAAGTCGCTAAGTTGGCAACACTGCGCTTAACTAAGCGAGACAGTTAACCTGGTCCGGAGCAGACTTGTTCACTCACCTAAGTTACCAGGGTAACTCAGCGGGGATTAATTTAAGACACGTTGATGGAACGGAATTTCCACTTAAATGAATCAGACTTGTCAAAATAAGTCAGACTTTCCCTTAATTCTGCTTCGTGGAATACCCCCCAGTAGCTGTTAATAATCACGAACTCCCTCACTAACCAGCATCCTCTCACCCCGCACAAAGCTTACCGCATTTCAGTTTGCTTCCTTCCTCTTTTGCTTACGACAAGGAGTAAGCGATAAACGGTAAGACTGATCCTCTGTAAATTTTACCCAAATTGATAATTGCATAGTGTATATGAGGAAAAATTCGACTGTAATAATCGGTTATTATCGGTGTTACCTCTGCCTTCCTTTGACCTTTGTCTACAGTCTGGCTAAACCTAATATTTAATTTAGCAACACAAATGGGGGCAGTTTGGATCTGCAGATGTACCACAAAGTCTCTATGAAGTCTGTTTCCGCCATGTAGAACATTCTGGATATTCATTCAGACATAATTGTAAAGCAACTGGTCTTACACTCGATATATTCTAAAGCTGGATTCCTAAAATGTGAGGATACACTTCAACGTAGAGCGTTATAAATGTAAATTAGGAGGATGATGGCTTTAAAAGAGACTGCGACTCCATTTCATTACTCCTGCGTGTAACCCTGCGACAAGCTGCTTTCGCACAAGTGCATATAATTATCATCGTGCTAGAACTGCTTAAGACGTGCGTGCTCAATTGCAATAATAATATTATTAATAATAAAAACAATAATAATAATAACTTAGTTAATAAATGAGAAATGTACAGCAATCTGTGTATATTTTTCGTTACTTTTTTCACCCTCGTTCCGAGACGAGGCTAAAGGCGCCGCTGCAGGTGGCTGCCCTTCGCGGACAGCTTACTCTACAAAGAGCAAGTTGAGGGAGGCGTAAAAACAATTTCCCCACGGGGATCAATAAAGTATAAATTATTATTATTATTAAAGTTGGCTACTTATTCGCAGCTCCTTATTCGGATTTTCCGGTTCACCTTAGATGCTTCGCAGCCCAATGCAGTGACGCGATTGTGCCTGTAAGAGGACCATTTTAATACCTTAAACCTCTCTGTGCCTGGCAAATATCAACTTCTCAGTACAGATCAGGTACCCAACTATATAGAAAAAGTGACATTGTACCGGCCCAGACCGCAGCTTCCTGCTTCTGCTTCCTGTGTGGTCACGCAGTAGTTGCGCTCCTGCTGACTGAGCATCCGGTTGAAGTACACAACTATGCAGTTCCCTGCAGGTTACGCCTGTGAAAGCACAGTACTGAGCCCCTTGTTGCATATAGTGGATGACTAACACTGTTTAAAAGCACCTTCTCTTCTCTCCTAGGCTGGCATTTCAGGATTCGATGCAAATGGAAAAAGAGTGAACTGCACTCGAGAAAAAATGGATTACCATGCTGTGGCCTAAGGATTTTAAACGTTTCATAATTGGTGTAAGTCACTGCAATTCATTAGCTAATGCATGGAGTTGTCAATTTCACTCCTTTTCAGGTAGTACTGACTATCGGTTCATATGACTCATCCTGGTCTCCAGCTATGTTAAAATGGAGCTGGGGAGAGTTGAGACAGCTGCAACACTTTTTTGTTTTCTTCAGTTTCTCAGAGAAGTTCCCACTTGCGCCCATTGTTCCCGGGATAGGCTCCGGTCCCCCCTGCAACCCCAGTTGGGATCAAGTGGTTTCAGGAAATGGATGGATGGTTATTTTTTGCAACAATTTCAAATCTTGTGTAATGCAACTTTTAATATTTTAAGTTACCTAAATGAGTGACATCTCATTTAGGCCTGTCACAATAACTACATTATCGACTTATCACACAACATAACCTCAATCATTTTTTCGGACCTCCATATTGGCAAATTCTGTTTACATAAAAATGGATGCAGTAACATTTTCGCCAGTACGCACTGCCTCTGTCCTGACGTCTGCCCCCTGTGACCCGTGATGCTCAGGGCAGAGTCACATTTGATGTGAAAGCATGTGAGCCGGGGCGAATGCAATGCAGTGCTGGACCATCCGCGGTCCTCAATGTTCACTATTCTAGTGCCGACACACCAGGCAAAGCTGTTCTTCAAAGTCATGTTTATGAAGTGGCATGAATGTTATAAGAATAAATAAGAATCTTACTAAAACCTACCAAGCGCAATGTACTTACAGTATAAAAGACAGGATTGTAATAGTTAATGAAAACATTTCCATAAACTGAAATAAAATAAGGTATGAAAAAAAAAAAAAACTAAATAACTACATATAATTATATAAACAAATTTGTCTCTTTCAGGTGATTGCCATCCTTATGCTTCTTATCTGTAATCTCAGCTATTCGTGTAACCAGGCTGAGTATGACATAGGTGGGGAGTGCTGTCCTGTGTGTCCTCAAGGTGAGTCTTTGGAAGACTGGCTCATACTGTCATTCGGGAGTCAATATCAGTGGAGGTTTCCCTGTCCTAACCTTGCCATTAATTCCATTTTCTTAAAAATTTGCCAGTTGAACACAATTCAATTTCTCTTTCAGGGGATAGAGTTTACAAACACTGTACAGCGCAGTCCAGCACTTCCTGTGTTCCATGTGTTGGTTTGACTTACACAGATGAGCCAAATGGTTTGACTAAATGTAAACCATGTACTGTCTGTGACCAGGGTGAGAATACCACAGTTTCCTTGGTTTTTCATGAATTCATAACTTGCATATT